CCCCCCCCAATATAATGAAACCCTAATTTTTCGCTCTTCGGACATTATGACAAAATGCAAAATAACTTAATGAAACAAATATTTCGGAAGACTTGAAGGATGCTGAATGGATTTATAAATTTTTACCAAATTCAAAACCTTCTTAAATAAGAAACAATCTAGTCCGGGGGGAGGGGGGGTACAATTAGTTGATGTATAGCGCATGCATAATAGGCGCTATACCCATATGAATTATTGGTGGGTCAGTTAAGTGCAGGAATTATTGGTGGGGCCACATTTTATATATAGCGTGATGAATAACCGCGATATACCTTAACGGAGAAAACTGCCGTTAAGGTATAGCGCGGTCTATAACCGCGCTATAAATAAAATGGTGCCCAGATATTTTAACATATTTCTGTCTCTTGAGTCCAAATGAACCATACTTTGGTTCCGGACTCGCTAAAGGAATCTATCCCATAAGAAAATACTAAGTTATAAATCAAAAGTCAACTCAAAAGTTGGCGCCCGGGCTCATGTCTCGGAATTCGATAAAAATCACAAAATCCGAACATCCATTCAACCACGAGTCCACCCATACCAAAATTACTCAAATTGGATACCAAAATCTCAATCAAATCCCCAAAATTCGGCCTAAGGATTTTCCTCCATTTTTCACCCCAACTCACTAATTAAATGATGAAATCAAAGACATAAACATGGAATTTAACCAAAACTAAGTAAGAATCACTTACCCCAATCACCCACTAAAAATTCTCTCCAAGAATCACCTCCCACCGAGCTCCCAGAATCAAATTGTGAAAATTAACTCAAACCCTCGTTTTGAAATATTTAAGTTTCTTCCCAGGTGACTCTTCTTCGCGAACGCGACCCTCTTCTTGCGTTCGCGTAGCACAAACCATTCTGCCGCCCAAAACCCTTCTACGCAAACACGAGGCCCCTCTCGCGAACGCGATGAATAACTGACCCGAAGCTTCGCGAATGCGGTCCCCCTACCTAAAACATCATATGAACTTAGTCGAGCCTTAAAATAATCAAACAACGCTAAAACCACAAATCATACATCGATTCAAGCCTAATGAACTTTTGAACTTCCAACTTCTACCTTCGATGCCGAAACCTATTGAATCACGTCCGATTGACCCCAAATTATTCACACAAGTAACTAAAGACACCACAGACCTACTCTAACTCCCGGAACCCTATTCCAAGCCCGGTAACCACAAAGTTCACTCTCGGTCAAACTTATAAATTTTCAACTATCGTCATTTCCAGGCTAATTCAACTACGGACCTCCAAATCACAATCCGGATATGCTCCTAAGTCCAAAATCACCCAACGTAGTTAACAGAACCATCAAAACTCCATTCCGGAGTCATTTACACACAAGTCAACATCCGGTTAACCTTTTCAACTTAAGCTTCCAACCTTGAGACTAAGTGTCTCAATTTATTCCAAAACCTCTCCGGACCCAAACCAACTACCCCGAAAAGTCACATAACAACAATTAAGCAATGAATGAATAGTAAATGAGGGAATATGGCTAAAACTCTCAAAACGACCGGCCTGGTCGTTACATCCTCCCCATCTTAAACAAACGTTCATCTTCGAACGGGTCTAGAAACGTACCTGGAATCTCAAATAGGCGTGAATATCTGTTCCACATCTCTCGCCCGGTCTCCCAAATAGCCTCATCATCACCTTCATTAAAACTATATCCTTGGACCTCAACTTTCGAACTTGCCGACCCAAAATGGCCACCAGCTTCACATCATAAGTCAAATCACCATCCAACTGAACCATGCTGAAATCTAAAACAAGAGACGGATCGCCGACATACTTCTGGAGCATAGAAACATAAAACACTGGATGCACACTCGACAAACTAGGTGGCAAGGCAAGCTTGTAAGCTACCTCTCCAATCCTCTAAAGCAACTCAAACGGCCTAATATACCGAGAGCTCAACTTGCCCTTCTTCCCGAATCTCATGACACCCTTAATGGGTGAAACCTTGAGCAGTACTTTCTCCCCAACCATGAAGGCAACATCATGAACCTTCCTATCGGCGTAACTCTTCTGTCTAGACTACCGTGAGAAGCCGATCCTAAATCATTTTAACCTTGTCCAAAGCATCCTGAACCAAGTCAGTACCCAATAACCTAGTCTCACTCGGCTCAAACCAACCCACCGGAGATCGACACTGTCTCCCATACAAAGCCTCATACGGAGCCATCTGAATGCTCGACTGATAGATGTTGTTGTAGGCAAACTCCGCGAGGGGCAGAAATTGATCCCAAGAACCCCCGAAATCAATGACACAAGCGCATAGCATATCCTCCAATATCTGAATAGTAAGCTCAGACTATCCGTCCGTTTGAGGGTGAAACGTTGTACTCAACTCAACCTCGAGCCCAACTCTCACTATACTGCTATCCAAAACTGCGATGTAAATTACGTACCCCGATCTGAAATGATGGACACTGGCACACCGTGAAGGCAATCAATCTTGCGAATGTAAATCTCAACCAACCGTTCCAAATAATAAGTAGTCCCAACTGGAATGAAGTGTGCGGAATTGGTCAGCCGATCCACAATCACCCAAATAACACCAAACTTCCTCGAAGTCCGTGGGAGCCCAACTACAAAATCCATGGTGATACTCTCTCATTTCCACTCTGGAATCTCGAGCCTTTGAAGCAATCCACCCGGTCTTTGATGTTTGTACTTCACCTACTGATAATTTAGGCAACGAGCTACAAACCTCAATATATCCTTCTTCATTCTCCTCCACCAATAGTGATGCCTCAAGTCCCGGT